GCAGGCACGTTCTACTGCTACAAGGAAACCTCTTTAATTCACTACAACAGCTATCTGAATCGCTCACACTATAAATTATGGCAAAAGACTAATGCCAAACAAAATAATTCAATTTTGTTTAACACAGGGCTTGGTGTTTTTTTTAGAATTTCAGGTTATAAAATAATTCAGAAGCGAGAAGGCTGTGATTCTCACTTAGCTATGAGCTTTCTCTCTCCAGAAAGTCAGAAACCTCTTAGAACTATGAATACGTTGCTTTAAAGACAGCTGATGTTTGCCAAGACCTCACCTACAACCAATAAAGGTGAGAAGAGCCAACGTATCTTTTGATATGACTTCCAAATGCAATAGCTTTCAAATGCTTCCCTGGGAACGTAAAATTTAGAAGAGCAAGAAAAAAAAAATGTGTTTCAGCTGCTGCTATTTATAAAGTTTTTTTTCCAGATAAACAAATTTTATATATCGACATAATTTTTCTCCTGTTTTCCAGAGAAGGAAAATTCAAGGAGATAGTAAAAGATATGTAATGGCCAATCCATGAACTGTATAACCTCCATCAGGAAAATTTTCACAAAAAGCAAGCTGAAAAGTCTTCCTTAGTAGTACGAATAAATAAACCAGTCTGTTTTGGGAGACTAGGGAATCATTGCCCTGTAAGAGCTATACAGTAAAGATTACCTAAACAGCCACTGCAAAGTTTGGAATAAGTAATGTTTACTAAATAGGAGTCTTTCTGCTGTTTGCCTGTTGCTTGGAGAGTAATAAGTAACTGCTTTCTCAGTCAAGGAAGAAGCTGCTTTATACTTGTTTTGAGATACTACAGATCATCTCATTCACACTCTCAAATTGGAAACAGGCTCATTCAGGAAGTAATATCTGAAGCCAGATTTAAAGTGCTGGCATTTCCTCCAATTAGAAGCTATCCAATAGCTGAAAATTCTCTTCTATCCATTGCCCTTCCTGAGAACCCAAAGAAACCTGTTTGCTTAAACAAGAAATAGCAGCACATTCCAGTTAGCATCCAAAATAAATCAATAACCAGTGTAAACAAATATTTAGATGAAGCCACATTTTCACACAATACATTTATGCTCTGAAATTCTGGGCCATACAAATATCAAGGAATACACACAAACTAAGTGGGTTATAAAGTACTTTAGAAGTTGAACACTCCTAAAGAGATCTCTCAGTATCTAACATACTTGTCTGCAATGCCTCCTTGGTTACATTAAGAAAGGCAGCCCCTAAAATACACCAGGATTGTTTAATTCTGATTTACTGAATTTCTAACACTAAACTTCAAAGTTGAAAACAGTCTTGGTTAAAAGGACTCCTGCCATTCACATCTTAATTAGAAGATACACCGAAGAGATGACACCTGCAGCTGTGAAATGAGAGAGGATGGCCTTAGGCTAACAGGAATTTTGTGTGTGTACATGTGTTGTGAAAATGAGGGAGGAGAAAGAGGAAACCCACAAAACCAAATCTAGTCCATAAAAGAAACCGTGCACATAGAGACACGCACATTCAGTCACAGTTGAAAGAAGATATTCACTAACATATATTCGTAATTTTGACGGACCAAATTATGTTTTACGATACATGTCAAGTATTTAAATATCAGGGAAATGACAAAGGCATTTGAAGATTTGAAGGCACGTTAGTCTCCTATTCTGAAAGACTAAGGTTCGGAGTATTTCATTTGTCAGTTATTTACACAGAATTTCCATGATTCATTCATTCACCAACAAGAAATGCAATAGAAAGAAACTCAAATAGCACTTTGTATCTCCACCCAAACCCACCATTATTTACTTCTTCCAAATGCAAAAAACAGACACACACTGATATATGTATCAAGTAGACAACCATAAAACTCTAGCTAGTTCTAATTACAGATTGTAACTGAACTGCAAAGAATTTTTTTTTTTAATCATATGCTTTACACAAAGAGGATGAAAACTCAAATAGTTTCAATGGGAGGGTAACTGTGCATGTAGCACAAAAACATACTTACATAATATGGTTGCTTTTAAATTACTTGAGCAGGATTCATCAGGCGCAAAGGAAATTTATAGTGATACATTTAAGGAACTAAAAATTTCTAAATTCTATTTCTAAAGGTTTAGTGATCATCCCTGATCCTGTGAGGCTGCAGAACAGCAAATGCAGTACTGAAACTTAAAAAATAGTATTTTAAAAGGAAAAGTATAGCTGGTTGACCGAAATTAGTCACACAGAAAAACAGCAGAACAAATTACTAAAGAATAAACCTCAAAGCATGACACTAATTACAAAACAAAAACAAAACCTGTAAGTATTACTAATTTGCCAAGTACAAATCAGCAAACCAACTGATTTTCTATTTTACTGGTGCAACTGAGGTGGCGTCTAGAATTAAAGCAGTACATGTTCCTACTCTTTGACTCAACTAAATCTTTTAACACTGCCTGTAATGAGAGTTTCATAAGCTGTGGGAAAATGTGGCACAGATTACATTATTAAAGATGAGTATACCACTGCTGGAAAAATACCCTAAACCTCCCAGACTGTACTCATGTAGTCTTCCAAATTTTCTCAACAAATTGGGACAATATACGAAGCATGTGTCAGGGGCCTGAACGCACTACCAGGCTCTGCAACGTCTTCCCCTCCACCTAGGACTTTGCTCCCCGCATAGCTGCGGAGCGAGCTGTGAGCAGCCTCACTGGAGCCCTTGTGGCTTGGGAGCCAGTGCCTGGCCCTGTACCTCGCTCATCCCAACCCAGACCCACTGACTTGACCTCCCGGCTTGGCCTCAGACCGTCCTCGCCACTGCGGGCCTGTGTGGCAGTCACTGGGCTCTCGGCCAGCTCTGGTCCCGCCCCTAGACCTGTTCTCCTTCCATGGACACGAGGACTGCACAACTTGCTGGTGAGGATACTGTCCCTGTCTCTGCTCCCTTGCCAAGTGGCCCATTCTTGCTGCTCCCTGACAGCAGGTCCTGCAGGCAATCTGTATATTATATAGCATTTTCAGTAAAAACTTGGGAGACAGAACAGAGAGCAGTATTTCTGAAATAGAATGAATAGATTCTATTCCATTTATGAAATTGCTTCCTTTTTTATTAATGAATAAATGAAATCTTTTGACAAAAGCTGGCATCATCAAGCAAAAGTCTACTTTTCTGGAAGTAGACTCTTCCAGACTTGGAACTCTAGAGGTTCCAAGTATGAAACCTTCTGAAATACAAGCTATTAACAAGAACTCTAAGTAGGTGAGACTATATTTAAATGTATACTGTAATTTTAGTATATGCACATTAGCAACACTTAGCACGTAAGTTAGACCATTAGTGTGTTTTGTATTAGACTTTTGCCAAAGGCCTTTGCAAAATAAAAATAAGCATCTGCTAGAAAATTACTGCATCCTTGCTGAAGCAAAGCTAAACCAAAGGGAGAAGATTACAGTATGAGGTGGGGGGAAAAAGCTGTAGCTTGGAAATTGTCACTTTCCTGAGTACTTCAAATATATAGAAACAATACATGCTAACTGACAACGCTAATTCTGGTTAAGTCATCTATGAGGTCAGGAATGGTTTAAGATGGTCCTGAAGAACAAAGATATTCAAATATATGCAATTAAAAAACATCTGCCTTCCCTACCTTGGGGAGCCTATAAACTCTCAGATGGTACCACCAATCAGCAATGACCAACTACAAGAATAAGACAGCCCTCATCATGTCACCAATGAAGTCTGCATCAATAGAGATACTAGCCAAAGAATAAAGTGAATCTGTTTCTCTCCTTTAGGGAAAACTAACGTTTTGTTATAAGCAAATAAGCTTTGGATAATATTTGCGGATGCAACCTTTATCCAGCAGAAAGTGGAAATTTTCTTGTAACAGTGCTATGTAAGCAGAGGGTGAAAGGATTTAGGAGGAAAATATTCAAATTCAAAGGATTCTGATAGACGGAAGAGATGTCCTAAATCAATATGGACCAATCAACTCAAATTCAATAAACAAGATGATAGTGGAACAAAAAATTAAATGATCAATCTGCATCTACTTAATGTGGTTACAAGTAACCTGAATTGATGAGAAGGTAGTTAAGAAAGAAGGATGATTATAAGCTAATAAGAAAAGGTGATAAGAAACAAGTCCTGGAAGAGAAGAAACCACATCAGAAGAATCTGATTTCCTTTTTTCATAGTTTAAGTCAGATGTAAAAAAAATCAATCAAGGGGATATTCTTCCCAGAAGTGGTGCCATTTGTTCATCTTAAGATGTTAAATTAGAGACAAGCCGGAGCAGCAAAAAAGGTATAACACCCCAATTTTCATCAAAGAGTGATTTCTATTATTATTAGGGTAATAAATTAACAGGACTGGTTATCTTGAGCTATCTGTCACTGAGGATTTTAAAAGCGAGGTTGGATACATGCCTATCAAGGACAGTCAAAATTATTGACCAAAGATTTTAATTGTAATGATGTAATTAGAGAATCTGAAATCTTAAAAGCCAGGTTATTGAGAATTGTGATGGCATAATAGGAAACAGAAATGATTCGCTTCTTGTTAATTAAGTTTTTATATGGGCTGTGAACACCAAGCATACTAATGTCCCTGAAAAGAAAAACAGTCCTGGATTATTGACAAAATTAACCAGGCCAAAGGAAAGTGTTTATGAACTCTGAATTGGATAGAATATGTTTTCTGTTTTGGTTCAGAAGAGTAACTATTATATCTTTCAAGTAATGTTACATATAATTACCAGTATTTTGTCTTTTTATTTACATAGCAATGTAATAAGACATTTAAAGGCATTTACATTTTCCAGAGGCATATGCCCATAAAATCCTTGAACATTAGTAGATTAAAAAAAAAAAAAAAAAAAATCAGAAATGGGTCAAATACCTTACTGGTACAAATGGATTCAATTTCATTGAAAAAAACACAGAGACTTTATTTCATTAAATAATGAGTCTGTCCCATGCATTCTAAGAAACGTTTAACTCACCTGATTGCCAACTAAAAGAAGATGTTCTCCAAGCAGGAAGTCTTTCAGCATGTCTTCCATTACCATCATGTGCTGGAGAAAAAAAATCCACAACTTTTACCCCTGCTTTTATACTCTCAAGTTTATACATTCAGTAATCAAAGTAGTATGCAGGAATTTTACTTGCAGAACTTTCAGCTGAAATTGTTTAAACATTATACTTACAGACATTTATTTTTTGGAAAGAGTCTCTCAGCCAGTAATACCAATCTATGCAGTGACTAAAACAATGAAACAAAGACACTAACTCTACTTATGCATTTCATCTGCTCCAATTATTTTGGGTGTCTGATGTCCCTAGATATATTTAATTCTCAGTAATGATGAATAATGCATTTCCTTTTAGCCTAGCTGGATGTTTGACACCCAGCATACAAGAACCATCATTAATTTGTGTGATTATTTTCCAGTAACTGTCCTGTGAAGAAGCAAAGTTCTAAAATACCAATCTGACTAATTTTCAGCTGTTTTGGAGAGCTGCTGATCTTACAGTTACAAAAACGTGCATTATCACCTCCAGTATAGTTTACTACAACTGTTATTATACAGGGTATGATAATTGTCAGAGATTGTAGGAAAGTTTCTAGGCTCACAACATTAGGCACTAAATGAGCAGGCAGTAAGAGACAGTAATACAATTTAATTATGCAGAACAAAGGAGGAAAGCAACATCACCATGGAGGAGACAGGAAAGAGAGATGGGAAGACTGAACAACCTTCTCAATGGCAAGGAAAAAATTTTGGTCAGGCCTCAGGTCCCATTCTGGTCCTTGTAATATTACTGTCCTTCCATTTAGGATAGAGGGTTACAATTAAACTAAATAGAGACTAATGAAGTAAGTAGCAATTAGCATTTCTGCATATAGACAACCAATACTTCCGGAGCACTGTCAGATTTTTGCACGTTTTTGCACATGGATCTGAAGTTGTTTTTAAGCTATGAAGGACTTCCAGGCTGACTATCTTGAGAGACTGTCCCTCTTCATCTCACAGATCTACAATTAGGCCCATCTTTTAACCAAGCTTTTGGGCAGGAAGGGAAGATTAAGAAACCTTATTATGGGAATTATGATGTGGTATTACTGGCTGTCTACCTTCTGTTCTGTGAAATGGTGGGGGGAAAGGGCCCTAGAAAATATTTTAGGGTGCTTTTATACATGCACATACACAGACATGTGTGTCTGTGTGTGTCTGCGTGTGTGTTTGTGTGTGTGTTTTAAATCATTAAGAAAAAAAATCGGTAGAAAGCTCTTACAGTTTGATTTTTACTGAAAACGTGAATACACACTTGAAATTTTCAGTTAAGAAATTTGTTGAAAAACAGTTCCTTTCGGCTCTACTAACGACACTGTGGACAATTTATTATTATTTACTACAAACATCTCATTTTTTATTTTACTCAGAACTATTGTTAAAACTTCACAAAGCAGGAAGCAAGAAGTGCAACATTTATAGCAACACCTGAAATGTGAAAAAAAAAAGGCAGTAAAATGTATCCAGGTGGAACTTTATATATAGAAGCCAGAGGGAATAAAAGAGAGCTGATATGAACATGGAAATTACATCCTTTTTTTTTTAATTAAAGGTTGAATGATAGGTATAGCTTAACAACAAATGCACCTTTCTTTTCCAATTAAACTTTATTTTCAAGGAAAATAAGGATAGTAAAATGCAAGCCCACATTCATAATGCTTCTTATAATTTCTAAATTACACTCCCTAATCGAAGTCAAAGTACTTGAGGTATATTTTATATACCCAGCATCATAAAGGTAACATATGCAGGACAAAATTTAACCTTATCTTGCTCCTCATAAATATTTTGTTCAAAAGAATCCAGACAGCTACAGATAATATGGCAGTGCAAGCTACTTCACTAGCAACAAAGACTTGTATATCCTCCACTGTATCTGGTGAAAATAGGTCATCTGTAAGTAGGTCAGACAATCTACTTAGGAAAAATGATTGCTTGCCTTTAGATAAACATATTTGTTTTCACATTATCATCTCATCTTTAATATTTGATTTTGAAACAAAACAAAACAAAAAAGTAGTTTTGATGTAATTTCAGAGCACACAGAAATATTCAGGTTGCAGCTGTGTGAAAGATGTTTTAGTTTTCCACATCTCTTCAGAAAAGAGGGTGGGGGTAGGGAAGAAACTTCTGTAAATACAGCTTAATACCATGAAATCCTAACCAGGCATGTCAAAAGACTACTGAATACTCGATATACAATTTAGGGAGAGGACTTCAAGGCAAATTACCATATTTTCTGGCATGCACATGCACCAGAAGTTTATAGCTGATGAGTGTAACTTTATCCAGATATAGCACAACAAATTCCAGTAAGTCAATCACACCACACATACTGATTAGATTTTCTGGTTTTACTGCTAAAGCATGAGTACTTCCCTCTGATGACTTATTTTCTCATCCTAAATTGCACAAGTGTGTGTACACTCTAGTTCCCCTCCACAACAGCTTTCTCACAACAGAAATTATGTACTGGTGCGTGCGTGTGTCTGTGTGTGTGTGTGGTTTTTTTTTTTCCACAACAGGACGTAAATTAGCACTGTATTAGGATGCAGGCAGACTTTTTAGGTTAAATACCTACATGAAGGACTTCTACATAGACACATCAACATTGTGTCAACTTAATCAGTCTCTGTTCCCTAAAGACAGGGATGAGAGTGGCATTTAGCATATCACCTAAAAATCATTTCCACTCTTGTGCCACTTGATGTGGACAAAGTATTGTTTCACACCAATGTTGAATTCCACTGAAACATGGAAACGTTTCAAGGTCAAATATACATAAGAAAGAAAACACATATTTCATTATATTGCACAGCATTGCAAAGAGCTTAGAAACTTTTTTCTCTTTTGGTTTATTTATCTAGTTTTTAGACACTGGAGTGGAAATATTGCACTAGACACATAAACCAACTTTGTATTCTGGAAGATTTTGCTAAATAACCATTACAGCACTTGAATGACTGAACTAAGGCACGAACCAGCAATACTGAACTTAAGATTAAAATTTATTTTTAAATGGGAACAGCTATTCTGACTGGTATTTGGCTGCTGTTTTCTTTAGTGTTCAGAATGCATTACTACCAGGGACAGATACGGAGCAGTTTGTTCTACATAGCATTTTTAAAAAACATATTGCCTAAACAAAGCAAATAAATAATATCTGAAGACTCGGTTGTGTGCAGTTCGCGGTAGTGTGTTCAGTTGTAATTACTGAAGCTATAAGCAAGAGGATGGAAAAAGCAATATGAATATAAGGGCTTTCAAGACTCAGGATTTCATTTCAGAGTGACCCAAATTAAGTACTTTAGTGAAATGGCAACACAGAAAAAAATCGCACATGAAACGTTACGGGGGAAGATGAAGACTGTCATCTGCCCCCTTCGTATGGCCTGTCATGACCTTCAGTAGGTGATACAGCATACTCTGTTCTGTGAAGAATTTGCAAGCAAGGGGGGAAGAAAGAAAGAATAGAAAGGAAAAAAAAAGAAGAAAAGGAAATTCACAAAGTAGGCAAACCCACACCAGGCCCCTAAAAGGAAAATATTTCACAAGAGCACTCTAGCTGTCAGTGCTGCCTTTCAGAGGCAAAATATTTTAAAGGTCACTCAGAGGGCAATTCCCTTGGTTAGGGATACCCTGAAGTGATACTTTTGAGGCCTCCATGCTAGAGGAAAAGGAAAGCTGCAGTACACTTACCTCTTCAAAAGGGGGGAAAAAAACCAATGCCCAAACCCTCTCCTCTCATTGTGTTCACAAAGTACCTCTTCTTACTACTTTTGTTACTCTCCTTCTGCTCGTATACACAGTGGAGCTTCTCAAAACCAGTGGAAAAAATGTAAGAAATTGGGGTAACAGTCCTTTCAGTGCCAAATAGGGGAGAATTTACAAACACTGCTGCTTGTTAAAACAGAGATTTTAACCATTGCTAGCCTTGTTAAAGGTTGCACACTGCAGCACACTGACTGGCTCAAAAATAGCTATTAGCCAACTGGAATCTTAACATTTGCGAAAGAATCGCACTGAAATCATATAAACGCGCTAGGAACGCATAGAGCCTGTATCTGTCAAACGATTCTGCTAATTTTTTGGTACCCCTCCGTTCCTCATAATTCAAGATGAGATTAATAACTGGGTAGTTTATAACCAGGATTTTGGAAACAGACCATGATTTGGCCCAAGACATTGTCAATAAGTGTACTCGAAGCATGCTCAGAAGCAATTCACATAAAATCACAGAGAACAGGGCTGGACTTAGAGAACTTCTTCACATTGCTTTTCAGACACACAGTGTTAATTCTAATACAAGGCTGGTACTGCAGGCTGGTAAAACTTCATGTCATAAGACTGTCAGACACTGAGATTTGTACTTACCTGAGTGTTTTCATAAAATAAAACATCAGGCACTTTCATTTTCTCAGTTGGGTTATAAATTGGCATAGCCACAGACCCTATCTTCAGAATCCCGTTGCTTACTTCACCTAGACGTTTTTCAGGAAATAAACAAACAAAATGCATTACTTAAAGCATTTTCTGAGCAGATATACAATCCCTAACACTTGTAAGAGACAATTTACAAATTTTAACCAGGCTATGGGTTGCTGTGTACGATTTCTCATTATCTAAAGAAAGAGAATGTTTGGAAGAGTTTGTTATTACTAACAAACTACAAGAGGCTGCATTATAATGAACTTGAATTTTCTTTATAATTGCAAGGAAGACCATTACAGTAAATGACAATAGGTGGATGCATGGGAAAAGTACCATTAAGAACACTAAAAGTTGTGACAGCTGCCCTGGTTTAATTCAGTACTCTCATCTTGTCACTGAAGTACCACTAATGCTGTTTGACTATATTTCCTCAACGGCGGAAGCAGTACGTTTTCACAGGCATTTCCTTTATTTTTCAAAGGATTTATAAAGTCACCATTGGTTTCTGCTTTCGGCATTAAATTTTTGTATAAACAGGTTTATGCCAGAACACAGACACTTCTAATAACTTGGTGAAATCTGGCTCAATTCTGCACTTTCGGAGGTGATCTTCAACTGTAGTTCCGAGAGGACAAATTATTAGAAAAATTTCTTAAATCAAGAGAATCATAAATTCTGTCCTTAGGAAAGTAACACCTAAGTGTAAATGATAATAAGGTGCTATCTTCTGACTATTTGCCACTAATTTCTTAATATTGCATGGTTTGAAACTGAAAACAGCCTGATTTCTGGATAGATATTTTCACTTGTTCACCTATTGATCGTTTATGGCTCTACCTCTACTTTTTCTGCATGTTTTACGCATGGAACAGAGAAAGATGAAGAAAATTCAAGGGAAGTATCAGGACGAGAAACCTGACAAATTGGCAACACTGCACAACTGGCAAGAGTTCAAATTATAAGTATAGCTATATACACACACGCACACATACACACTCATATACATATATTTACATATATACACATATAGAAATTGAATCTACAAAACCAGAAAATATACAAATAAAAACAAAGATGTGTTTAGTACTGCAAAGATCTAACAGTGAAAATGCAGAAGGCAAATACATGGCAAAACTGAGAATAACCAGCAAAGAGAATACTGGTGAGGAAGAGTGCAGATTACATATGCTGAAAGAAAGAGTTTAGTGAAGGAAAATGGCAGATCACTCATAGCATGCTGCCTGACAGAAGGTATAAATAGATATAAAGTTAGCATGAAGACCAGAGGATAAGCTGGAATAAGAAAGCAGCAGCGAGAAAATGTTAGAAAGAGAGATATATGCATAGCACAGAAGGCAATTGCAGAAGAGTACAAGTTGGATACAGTAAGACATAAAGATCTGATTGATAAAGAAGACATGCAACAACATTAGCAAGTTAAACAGAATAAAAGGAAAGAAAATTAACAAAGTGTGTACCAGAATGAAAGCAAAACATAAAGTCAGTACTTCTGCAAGAGTACCAATGAGGAAAAGGCTGATTTTGCTAACAACGGAGAGAAAGAAGCAATGGAATACTGCAGGTAAAGAACAGAACAGATCGGAGAAAGATTAAAACCACCATTCCAAGGTTGTAACCTTTTGGAAGAACAGTACCAGTGATAACAGAACTCAAAAATAAATCATCACAGCAGTCCAAGAAAGCCTGAAGACATAGATCTTACTGACTGCGAAATCCTGAAATGTGACAGAGAATAAAACTGCAGGAGCTGAGGCTACAAGAGACAATATAGATGTATCAACATATTAAGAGTGCCTTACATCCCAATAGAATAAAGCCAAAGGGAACTAACTGAAGCAAATTACATTTATTTTGGAGGATATTTTTTGAGCATTTATATGTTCAATCATCTGAATAACATTCATGAAAAGAAGAACAAAAGGTAGCAAAAGCTTACAGGTGTAATCCTTCTCCTCTAGTTTCCTTATGTCATCTGGATTTGTCTCAATCCTAGAATCCAGCAGATTTTTCTGTAAAGCTGATCTGGCAAGGTTGGGTAAAAACCTAAATGAAGAAAAATAACACAGAGATTATTTTCTAAATAAATTTTTCAGTATTTGCTGTAATCTAAAATCAGCACAAAGCTTTAACTGGACCTTCAAACCTTGAATAGTGTCAATTCCCTTCACACACAGCTTCCAGCAATTCACCTTCTGTCCCTAAGGAGGTAAGTTAAACTTCTTGCATAGGTAACTAATTACATTAGCAGCTACACGTTCATTTTAAAAGGCTTCAGTGTTATACAATATTGCAATAAAGTTAAAATGTGGGATAAATTAGGACTGGAGTTCTATAATCTCCTCATTCCACAGCCAGTTAGAGTCTGATTAGAAATCATATTTTTTGGAAATATCTTTTTCTCTGCATTCAGTTCAGTCGGATCACAGGTTCGAAAGAGGAAGGAAAGAGCTCTGAGCTCTACAGAACTAGGCCCACTCAGTTTTCCAAACCTTTTGTTGATTACAGTTAGCTTTTTTTTGAATTTTTTTAGATACAGCTTTTGGAACTGAGTCCAAGTCTCCAGCAAAAACCTAGTCATATCAGATATTAATACAACCCTGATTTGAGTGTTCTGAGATAGTGAAGTATTGTTATAATGAAGACCTGACTGTCTTTTTATTTATACAATGTCGTGAAACATCTCCATAAAGACGAGAAAGCAGTACCAAGCCATTCCTACTTATCTCCTAAGTTTGAGAATTTTACAGAAATACTGTGGAAGAAATTATAGGATTTAAGGAGCAAGATAGCAATTGTATTATCTACTAAAGCGTATTTAAAAATTAGCTTGCATGTTAGCAGTTGGCCAAGAAACTCCCGAACCTCCACCAAAATTGGCACTTCTACCTGGAAAGGCAGGCTTTATTAACAGCATAGTAAAGACTTTCGTCAGGGTAGTGTGACAGTCGACGACAAATTCGCAACAGTTGTCGAGTAGATAAAGATGAAGCAAGTGACTGTGCCTGTCAAAAAATACAGGGTATTTTAATTATTTGATCTCTAGGATTTTAATGAAACAAGTCAGAAGAAAAAAAAAACTGTAATAAAAAAAGCAATTATTTCAACTTTTCTCCTTGTTCAGATGTGCTTTCTGCCTCCTACAGCAGCTTGTGCTATTTAATCTGCAGGTCTGTAATCCTGTGCTTGTTGTAGGAATTCACTGCTCTGGAAATCATGATGTCACCAAAAGGTTAGCTTTAAGATTTCACTCAATAAGCAAGAGGAAGAAAAATGTGCTGATAATCGATTTTTATTTGCTATTTAAATAAAAAAAAAGGGGGGGGGTCAAGATCCTAAAAAATAGTCCTTTACTCTTCACGAACTGAGTATTAGCTCCACATGTAACGCTCTGGCAAAAGAGTCTGGTAAGGCTCATGGATGTATAAACAAGACAATACTGGGCAGAAGCAGGGAGATCGTATCACCTCTGCACACGCCTCCTGGGCGGGTCATTACTGGAACACTGTGTCCCTTTCTGCTGGCCACATGTTAAAACGAATGTTAAAAATTGGATGTGATTCTGCAAAGAGTTACAAAAATGATTCAACGCCTGGGAAGCCTAAAACAAATACAGCAAAATTTAAAACAAAGAAACAAACAAAAGACACCCCAAACCAACTGATCATTTGTTTAAGAGACATATAAAGACTGAGAAAGAAATGATCCTATAATTATATCTACTAGATAAAGGTACCTAATACAAACAGGGTCCTGACTTCAGCAAAAAACACAACGAGTGCAACCTGATAAGTCACACCACGCTTTGCCTGGGTCAGGTGAAATATTTTAATTAGATAATTTCAAATCATTCTGTTGCGTTTTATATAAATGATTTTTAAGTGCCTTGTAATTATCTTAACATATTATGCTGTTGTAGTTGGGATAAAAAACCCTGAAATTTGGCCATCAAGGAAAAAAAGAGAGAAATGTAACACTACATGAATTTCACAAGTTTTTTTTTCCCCCCCTTAAACACGTTTAAGTATAAAAAATTTCTCAAAACCAATTCTCTTCCCCAGAAAATTGCTTTTTTGACCAACAAGCATTAACGTTTTTTTCTTTAAAAAAAAAAAAAAAAACCTTGATGAAATTGTACGAAACTTTTTTCCAAAGCTGACAAGGCAAAAGATAATACTTTCCAGCATAGCTCTGAGCAATGGGAAAGGACGACTCAGATTGGGATAACTGGTAAGATTACTGCTCCTGCCTCTCCTGCTTTCATTGATGAAGGACTGTGAAGCACCTTCTGAACCATCACAGTTTACAACCCAGCATTACAGACACTGAGTTGTAAACTGTGGTCTTTCAGGTGTTACTTCACGACAGAGTCATGTGTGAAGCATGGGCAAGGGAGAGGGGTGAGAGCTGTATCCTTGTGATCCCTCTTCAATCACCAGAACTCTCAGGGTCTTTGGGAATTACATTCCATTTTCAAAAGTATCTTAAACAGCAGAAAGATTTGCAAGGCGAATGGGTTCTGGTGAGGTGAGCAGTCCTCCCAAGTCACAACCTACGGGACTGCATTGAAGGAGACAGGCACAGCTGGGCACAGTAATTGAGGTAGAGTGCACTTCATCCACTGTACCAGGTGGGAAGGAGGAGGCAGCCGATGTTGCCTCTTGTCTGATACACTGACAAATCCAAACCCTAATTCTAGATTCTATATATAGCATCAGATCCTGCACTGGTATAAATAAGCATAAAGGACTGGCCCACAGAGGAGAAGCTGTGTCACATCTTCTAATGTTTGCAACTGTGCAACCGTGTTAAGCGTGCAGTAATAAAATGTCCTCTTTCCTCCTCATCCCCTTTTATTTATTTTTACACGACACTACTGTAAACTCAAAACTGGGTGATAGTGATAGTCTTTCTAATTTATATCTCTGAGGCATCTAATTCAACAGGATCTTAATCGTGGTCTCTAGGTTCTATTGTAAATCAAACAATTACAATGACGCAGACAACGCCCACAGCCTGAACATTCTACAGGTATTCTTCTATTGTTAACAAAATCATTCGAAACAATGGCTAATATTTCAGGATAATCTCTGGCAGAAGATTACTTTCTTAGGCAGCTCTATAAATAGCCTGACACACCTAAGGCACACATTTCAGCTCTTAATGCAGGCATGCTATTCCTGATCTGTCTTCATTTCACTGCTAATCTACAAGAATCCTCCCTCAATCCACACCATGATTTGCTTCTTATCCAGCATCACTCACTTCATTTAGATATTTCACAATGTTATAGACATCCACATATTTAGAGAGGAATTTTTTTAATGCTCTGTTCAAGCATGGTATATCTCTAAATATGTCAAACACATAACACATTTATCAGTCTACGTTTGTACAGCACTCAGTGGAGGAAGCTAAATAGACTATTAGTAACAATGTCCCAAACGTGTACCTAAAAGCCACTCTTTCTACTTACTTTTTTTTGCGCTCAAGCTCCTAACAGCCTTTCAAGCCTTTCTCAGTTTCTTAAATAGTAATACTGTGAAAACTATTACCAATGTCAAATTCATGAAAACTAAGGAGAATGGATTACATTTACATACCAGTTAAACTGCTGGATTGCACTGAAAATGTTTTACATTTTAGATGCATTAAAATCACACACTGCTTTAGTTGCTATAGCAATGATTTCTTTTTCTTTCCGCCAAGATTTGACTGTATCTTTTTAAAGAACTTTGTGGTTACTATGTCAGCAGGACTTATTTTTCTTGACAAGATTACTTTAATAGAATGGCCTGTAGCAGTAAGGCAGATAGTAATTCTGGAGCTTTCTCTTTTGTAGTCCTAGTCTTCACTGTTGCCTGTTGGCATTTTATAATGGTTTGGTAGTTCTCATTGCCCAAAAAGCCGCAATAATTTCAACTCTCACAGTTCCAGTGAGTGAAGAACTGTATTATGTACAGTAACAACCACTAAAGCAAAGTTATCAAAAAAATATTTGGACACACACGATCATATCCGTACCTACCCAAAAGGTACCTCGTATATGTTTCACGCTTAGCCACGTACCTAAACCCACTGACAACGTGTACTATTCTGTCTGATTTTCACTAATACTCAGGCAATTTCCTAAAGGCCTTACTTACGTAGATTCTAAAAACATAAATCAAAATTCAAAAATTTACAATATGTGGTACAGCAACCACCAGCACTAATTTTCTGAGCCTGGTTTTTCAGTCAGGCAGCCTCTAAAACAACACTGTCGTTTAGCATGCTTTATCCAGCTTTATCCAGCTTTATCCAGCCTTGTGACTCCATGTTAAAACATGCAGTCACAGCAGCAGAAAATATATTTGAAAAAAAGGGCTTACTGTGGCATCATTTGTCTCCCGAAGCTTGTGCGTTAATGACAACAATTGCTCCACAGCAGCACTGGGTACGTTTGGAATCTGTTTGAAAGAAAAACAGTATTAATCTTACTGCAAGATATGTAAGTTCCATATACAGCTACACATGGATGCTATGAGTATACAGTTGTCACAGTTGGTTTCTATCACCCGAAAAAGAATACAGTTATGACAAAGAAATTTTTCTATTACAGCATCATTTAATATCCTGATAAGAAGGCTAATTTATATGCATTTATATGCCATTAAAAGATGAGCAGGATTTGAAAATAAACAATTGTTTATGCTACACAGAAATAGGGACTGCAATAGTGAAATATTTGGTATAGAGTAAATAATCGTATCCAGTAAAAAAAAAAAATAAAAAAATCAAAATTGGCTAAAATAATGAACGTACTTACCATTTCTTTAATAATTTGAATTTCTTCATTCTTGCTTAAAGATTGAACATTATGAAAAAGAAACAGCGTCAGAAACTCTGGACCCAACCATTGTTGGGTACTGCTTCCAATGACAGGAGGTTCGGCTAGGACAATTATTCTGAATGAGGGGTGGATAGGAAAGATGGACCTGCAAGAAAACATTTTTTTTAAATGCATTGTGGGCTTAAGTAGTGGATATCAAACTTAAATTTACAATAGTTGAAGAAAGAATTGAATTACTGCACTGAGCCATAGCACAATGTCTAGGACTTTTGCAATGCAATTTTAGAAAAAACCCAAACTGATGCAAATGGTATTATGAGACTTGTATTTTTATAAATTGCTCATAATTGTTATGCCTAAGAGGGCACCCAAGTCTCCTTTTCATCTGTGACTTGACCTGAATGCCTCAAGTTGAGCAAATACCAGCAACTAAGGTAGTGTTTATTCTTTTTTATGTCTGAAATGGATACATCTCACTAATTTGATGGAATTGTACAAGTGCTTTCCCTAAAGCATCATGTCTAACAGGCAAGTCAGGGAGGCAACACGATCTACTGGAGCTGCAGTAATGGGTAACTTCTTTTACTCAATTAGATTGACAGGAAGGATGATACTGTAAAAAGATCAGCCTGGCTACCACAAAGAGTTGGATTTATTTCTCATTTCTGTTACTGACTTTCTCTGTGGCCCTTGGAAAATCAGCTAGACTCTTGGGGTGGGATTAATGCACCTAACTTCATAATATCTCTAAAAGTTATACCTCAAAGTCTAAGCCAGTCACCCACAGCTCATTTTAGAGTCACTGGAGATAAATAGGCCCCTCCAATGGCCGATTAATCTGTCTTATAGGAACTTAAGAAATGCCCTGCTGGGCCCATCTATCTACTCAATCTAGCTAAAAGTCTCTGATCGTGACAGCTGGAGCTGCTGCTTGGGAAAGGCACATCAGCCTAGCCACTACCAGCAAGCAGCCTAGTCTCCTCATACTCTCCCAGCATCCACAAACCTACGTTCAAGGTTAGAGGGTATACCCCTACCTACTTGCTTTCGTTATCTGCTTATCTGCAAGTTTATCTAATATCTTTTTGAACTTCTTGATCCCACCTGCCTCTACAACTTCCTGTGGCAATGCATTCTAAAATTTCACTGCCTCCCATGTAAAAGGTACTTTTTTTCTATTTTTTTTTTAATCTATATGGAACTGATCTGCTAGATTCAGCAAGTGCCACCTAGTTATAACACTGCAGGATTTGGTGAATAACAGTATCTTAGATGTCTACCTATTTCATTCCACTGAATATAATGGGACTTAGCGTGACTAACGCAGACTTAAATGTACAACTTTTACATGCCTTTCTTAGGGCAGTGGAAGGCTAATTCCTTGGTTTTGGTGTCATCGTCATATCTTTGACTGCCTTATTTAAGATTATCACCTCTTTAAATTAGGAATTTATTGGTATTGATCAATCAGCACAATGGCATTATCTCTAGAAGCAACTAGACAGTAATAAGTCAGATATAAAAGTCAGTCAAATTTTGCAAGAAGAGCCTGTTTTTGACAATTAGTTTCTCAGTATTCTTATTAAAAGAGCAGACACTATTTTGGGAAAAAAAAGTAAATTAGACAGCTTACATTAGTAGTTATGCCTGTTATCATTTGTCATTTTACATAAACAACGTTTGACATCAGAACATTTGGAGGTAAATACACTTATTGGCTAAACTGGCAGGCAAATGATGGTACAAGCAAGAAAATCTGAAGACAAAATATGACCCTCAAATACGAATTACCAAATCTGCTACGTAGTTGGCTGATTTGCTAGTTACAATAATAAAATTCTGATACAACAGCGCGAATATAGCAAGCAGCCACTTGTATCAAAGCAAACACAGGGGGTGGCATCATTTACTCTCAGCTGAAAGTCATAAGCCTAGAAGCTACTCTCTGATTGATAAAAATAGAAGTATGTCTGAAAACATCATACGAAAGAGAAATCAGTGGGAATGTCACTGTCACTAAGTATAAAAGAAGGTCAGAGAACATTAGCCAACCTTATTACAGAAGAAAATATTTCCTACATAGGATAAATAAAAGAAATTCCAGACTCACCTTTCCCTCCATTACTAATAAGAAAAACAACCCTCTCCATTAATCAATCTAAATTCCAAGGACTAATTCTGGTCCTTCCGCAATACCATAAGAGGGCACAAGAAGCAGTCAGATTTCCTCAGTAAAGGAAATACATTTCTCTTGCATCACCTCCACATCTCTGCCTAACTCAAACGGCATGGTGGGGACAGTGTGGGAGGGCATGGGGAGGAAAGGAGAAGCAAAGTCAGGGCACACTAAACTGGTAATTGCAGTAAAGTTACTGATATTCTCTCTAGGCTTGGACATATCACAACATCCCTGCTGTAGGTTTCCAGTTTGTAAACATGAATAAAAATATTTGGCTACTTCAAAAGCCTATTGTTTGGACCGATGTTTGCAACACTGAAAATGTCAAGCTAAGTATAATTATTATTAAAACAAATGTCACAAATGACTCAATCCTGCAATGCACTGAAAGTTCCCAGCTTCCACCGTGGTGACTGCAGAGGAAGTTGCTCCATAGCATTGCAAGAGCAGGTCCCTAAAGGAATGTAAAAGAGTTTTCATGTGGAGTTACATTTTATGAAACAGAGATCCTTGACATCTTTTGTTCTTTGCAGATGAAGGCCATGTATATATCTTGTTAAAATCTTGGCACCTTCTAAATTAATGAGTTGTAAGCACAGTGGGAGGATTTGGTGTTATTTTATTAATGCAGAGAATCTTTACCCTTTTTCTGTTAAATGTTTACTAATAACACAGACAGCGGTGTACCTATGGCCTAGTAACATCTATGTCCTTCTTTGGATATCAGTGTTTAATTCCAAACAAAGAATATCACCCCCTTGCAGATTACAGATTACTTTATCTGGAAAATCACAAAGCTGGGAAAAAAAAACCCAAACAAACAAAAGAAGAGTAAAAGCTAAAAAATATAACCAGTTAAAAATTTAATATATTGAAATATATTAAATAATAATATATTGGAATATATTAATTATTATATAAAACCAATATATTTGGTTTTCTACAAAATTCACTTCCAGTCACATTTTATGTTTTTCTCATCTGCTGTATGCATTCCCTTTCAACTCAGTCACATGGAAAATAATCCACTGTCTGCAAGGCATTAAGATTACCCAAGCATTATGAGCAACTTCTTTTAGCTTTTGAACAATCCTATTACATACATACGTCTAGATTTTCCTGAAATAGCTGATTTCCTCTTCACCTCATCAAAGACTTACTGTGAGAGGAGAAAAAATCCAAAGCCAAAATATCCATTCAAACATGTTTAAAATACTGTTTCACAAGACAAACCAGCACGTCATCGCTTGTCAGTTTAAAGGTGGCGCACAACCTTTACAAATCTGTCTCAGTGAAGTAATTAATGATTACATAAGAAATTCTACGCAGAATTCGTGGATATGCACTGTGAATCAGTAGCTGAATGAACTTCTTAATCTCTGAACCTGTTTAGGAAAATCAGCCAACCCAGCCCAAGAAAGACTAGAGGAAAAATATTCAGTGCCAATTGCTGGCTACTGTGTAGCTTATAGGCTTTTACCAGGCCAAGGAGTTTCGTACACAAGGGCAAACCTGCTGCTTGTATTTGTCATTCCTGATAGAGCTATTGCACCCACCGGTCTAGAGTCCTTCTCAAAAAACACTTGTGGACACCACAGATATAGAAATGCAATGAAAGATACAGTGAAACAAACACCTACGTGACAATGATTAGCATCATTTAAAATAAGAATATATTTTATTACCTTTTAGGTAATCAAACTTTTAAATGAAATTGCACTAACATTAAATTTAAGAATAATAATATTATTTCTAACCTGCAAAATTTCAAATCACTCTGAACCCCAAAGAATACTTTTGCCTTTGTCCAGTCTTGCTAATAACAGTGTCCTGGTTTAATACTGTTCACATTCTGTAGTATAATACTGTTTACATTCTTGACACAGAGGCATGTAATTTCTTTAGATCATACTGTGATCTGAAACACCATCCTTTATTAAAAAAGAAAAAACTCTTGATTTATCAGTGTTCCAAGTTCTCTTTAAGTGATGGGTTGTGCAGTATTCTGCTTTCTATTCTACCATGAGTGAATATCTGAAAAGCTGAAAAATAAAGGCACTAAAACAAACTAAAAAAATATTCCCATTATTTTATTTTATTATCAAATATTTTCAGATAGAAGTGACTGCATGAAAGTTCAGTAACAATTTTTCTTGCTTTTCTCAAGAAGGATCGCCGAAAACCTCTCTATTACTATCTCAAATTTTCCTCTTAGAACTGGCAAAACCTTCAGGTGTGTGTAAATCTGCAGAAAAACAAACTAAAAAATGTTTACAGAAGTTTTGGCTCATTGGTTAGGGAGAGTACTCCTTTCCATTACAATGGAATAGATTTTGCTTAGTAGAAATTGTGTTGTAAAATTCCATTTACAAAGTACCCAGTCTATGTAGTCTACTAAACAGCATCAGCTATCAGTCATTCTTTTTTCCATTATGGAAAAGGTAATTTGTATTTTTCTAATTTCTAATAGAATCTTGCTGCAAATAGCCACCTCATTTGTGAGTTTTAAGTCCAAGGGATAGAGAGCAACAGTGAGATATTTTGTATTCGATGAATGGTTGTAAGTAGTGCTCCAGAGACAAACTGCAAACTATACTATGATAAATGACAGCTAAAATCAACAACAGTCTTGCTGTCAAAGCTGTCCCCCAAAAGAAACTGAGCAGGTACCCCATGCATTTGGTTCCTCTTCTGTGCAGCGGTTTGGTATCAGTCCTTCTAAGTCTATCACAGGTGCTTTCTAGTCTCCAGCTACTGCTTTCCCCAAACCCTGAAGATGACCTGCTCTCTCCTAGTCTAATGATTTTCTAATGAAGTTTTTGGCATTATTCCTTCAAATTCTGGTCTTTTAGAAGTACTTTCAGAAGTACTCTCTTTTCTCTTGTTCTTTTATCTCTTCTGTGACTATTTTCAGTTACTTCGGTTAGCCCCTGCTTTACTGCTTAGACATTGCAAACTCCATCATGCGCTTCCGCTGTATCACTGATGTACATCACAGTATGTGTCTTCCTCTGAGTGTTTCTCATAACAATTACATTAATACATGAGATCAAGTAGATAATTATTATCTATTATTAAGTAGAAAATAGATAGTTTAATAATAAAATAGTTATTTTAACTGTAAATTATGTATTCTATATAACATATTTTAAATACGCATATCGATTCCTAAGATACAAATGAGACAGGAAGACTCAGCTTATATGTGTGATTTAGGGAAAAACGAGAGCTAAATTAATTTCCTGGTTCAAATGCAACTTGAAACTATTTTCCATATGGAACTCCCTTATTAGAAAGGAACAGGAGTAGTCTTAATGTGCACTCAGCGCACATCCCAGATCCAGTCTGAGCAGAACTGGAATGACAGTACAGATTCTACAAGATAAATAAAGAATAACGGTACCAGAATTATCCTGATTTTCTGGATTTCATTAAGGTAAGTAAAGCTCTTTTTTTGTCTTGCCTTAACACCAGACACACAGCTGAGGCCACTAGCCACAGCCATGGACACACAGCAAGAGAAACAGTATTTCTCACGGATATGAAAAGCATCTCCCAATCATGACTTAGAGATAAGAATTTGCTCAGCAAATCTGCTAATAAATTCAAGCTACAGTGTATTCCCCTTACCTCCCCACAAACCAGTCTCCTACAGGCAAAGGAGGGATGGTTTGCACTAAGTCCTGTTTCCTTAGACTGTGATTAAATCAGCTGTCAGTACCCAGACCTCATTCGATGAGGAAGTCTCTGGAGAGAAGGCCTACTCTTGCATAGCCATTCTGCAACACTGAACAAGAGTGAAGCTTGCAGTGACATGTAACTGGTGCTGAAAAGGACAAGTAGCAGGGGGGACTGCAGTACCGCAGTGACAGAGCAACTATTGACATCATGCCCTGGAGTCCAGTGAAAGGCAGTGATGTTTTCAGAACACGTAAGGGGCTAAAAACAGGATGAGGTCCTGAAATGCCTCCAAGTCCACAAGGGCCGACTACAAAGAGGATCAGAACAGTGCCCTCTGAACTGAGGAGGGGCCCACAGATGCTCCTTTTGGAGACAGCAGCCAAAAGCAAAGTTGTTGATACAGGCTTGCACCACTTCACCTTCGCTTCTGTTGAATGAGCCCAAACAGGAGAGAGTTGAACAAGGGACAGACTGTAGATTTCACCTAGAATGAGGTGAGTTTCTCAGTACAATGGATCCTGGTTAATTCATTGCCAAGAATTTTCATCTGTAACCAAGACGGTGCTAAATGGTCACATCTGAGTGTTATGTGGTCACGCCAAGCTTACACATGCAAGAATGCCTTCATAGGGTTTTTTTCTTCTTTTTTCTTTTTCTTCTTCCTTTTTTTTTTTTCTCTCCAGATCAAGTAGCATCTATACAATCCACTCAGGAATATATCCTTGTCCAAGATAACAGGCACCCCACATTTATGGATTTGAAGGTAAACGCCAGTTTTCACAAGTTCACAAGGTCAGGAAGTAATCTTCAGTGAAACCACTGAGTACGTCTGGCCACAAACACTGAACTGGATGATAATCCAAGAACATGCAAGTTATGCAGATAAAGAGAAAGCACAGTAGAGGAGCGCTCCACCTCAACAGGACAGCTAAGAAAAGCTGTTATGCTGACTAGTCAAGGCCTTCCCCTTTTTCTAAAAGAGGAGAAAGAAGTGAGTGACAGGGCACACACACAGAATGTGGATGCTGCATGGAGGTTTAACTTGAAGGTTAAAAATTGGTTCCCTGAGCATAGCCTGATGCTAACAAAGTTACATTTGGCCTGTGCTGCTAACTGATTCTGGTGTTTCTGAAATCAGTCTCATTGTCAGTCAAGCAGATCGTTTAGTAGCTTAACAATTCACGACGAACTTTGTGTTGTGAAATATTAAAGTGGCCAGGAACAAGCAGTACAATGGGATCTGAAGGAAACAGGGACACTCTTGAGGAAGGACAAAAATGGAGCATCCAAAGTAATTAATAGCAATGAACAATAAGCATTGTCCAGGGGAATCAAAAGCTTGCCTAACAACAGTGAAGGAGAGAAAAGTTCTGTATAGAGAAGGCATAGTGAGAAGACGGTTCTGCAGAATACTCATTAAAGAAGAGAGCTTGGAAGAGTCTTACGGTCTAAGAGGCACTGACAGTTCTAAGGGAGTCCATTGCCAAAAAAATGTCATAACAAAGAAAAATAGGGAGATGCGGGATACAGATACGAAGCTCTACTCTTGTCAGAGGTATTTGACACCGAAAGAGGGGCAGTACTGAAGATGTATGTCTGATCAATTGTCTAGATCAATAGAGTATGTTGGTATGAGCCGAAGGGTACCTTGCAGTTAGCAAAACAGCACAACCACTGCTGTTCTGCCTGAAAACACCTTGGACAAGACCATGGATATTGACAGCAGGGACGAGAATACCCAACACAATGATTAGATCTATTCTAAAGTGCAAAGTCCAATGCAAAATTGTGATGCACTCCAAGACGGAGCCTTGGAGCCTTTTTTTGCTTCTCTTTTCAAATTCTGGGCTTAAAATCCTGGCCAATTCAAGACTTTTTTGGTGTATATTTCCTTACCCAGACAAAATAAATACAAGGCATGCCCATCTAGCTGGGTATATGGCCTCAACAGGCTGGATACAATTTGCAGCCAGCAGGCTTAGACTACAGCATACCTACAGAATCAAAATAAATGCTACAAAGACTTAATATTCAGTTCTTTAAAAATGCAGTATTTGGGTCTAAAGGGAATGAAAAATAACAAAACAATCAGGCAGTAAAAAAACCACCAACAGCAAGGCAATTCAGAGAAACAGGGGGTGGTACATTGTCAAGGGCTGGGACATCATGAGTGTATCTCTACCAGTACTGATATGGCTAACACACACCAGAAAAGCATGGGCACAGGCACATCCCCCATTGTAAACGTGAACACAGACATCTGACATAGAACTTCAGTTGTTCATTCAGAGATTAGAGCCATTTAAGAATTATGGTGGGTTTAGCTCTTGACTGATGACATAACTCATAGTTATTCCATAACTGAATCTTAAGATCGTATTTGTTTCGGAGTACAATCAACAAAATCCTTCCCATTGACTGAAACTAGTCAGCAGTGTTTGACAACGTATTAAGTATGGCCATCAGAGGACTAGAAAATGTTTCTATATGCGGAATCTTTCTAGCAGACAAGTGGAAGTGAAGAAACAAAAAGAATAAGCATAATGGGTCCCAACCCATCCTTAGGATTTCCTGCACCCTACTAATTGTAAATTAAATACCAGCTTTCTAGTTAATGAGGCAAAATAAAGTAACAAGTTATATTTAACGTTAATTTAGTTTAATTCTGAGAAGTTACTAATAAAATGTTCCAAAATTAAATATTATATACTTTTATATCTATGTTTTTATGTACTTACAATTTCTTTTCAATTTCTAACTCCTTCTATTAAAGGACATTGAATGTTTTTTCTTTCAGCTTGAGCAGTCTAAACAGGATATAATTTTCTCATGCCACAAAAGGAAAAAAATCTCATGAGGAAATTGACTTTTAAAACATGTTCTCCTAGTGATTAAAAGGTATCAGTTTAAGAGGAAAGCATTTTGCAAGATGTTTTTGTAATAAAAAAGGAGATTAAACTCTTTACAGGATGAAATATTGTTTGCATTCAATATCTGTAGCTAACACGTTACCTTTCCTGTAGTTTCTCACTGGAGAGCTGTAATTCTTCTTTTAAGTGTTGATACCTATCTTCCCTTAATAATCTGGTGCCATCATAGAGAGTCAGTTCTCTGTCATGAATCAGCCTGTTTGGGAAAATAAAAATAAACTTTATCTCACCTTTGACTGGTTTTTAAAATACTTATTTCAGCTATTGCTTCTTTAAACAGCTATCTCAGTCAAAACTTAGGCTGCAGTAGGACACTCAAAGTTACGCTAATTTAAGATGCACCCACATGTGGAGATAAAATAATTTGCATAAGCAAATAGTTTCAGTGCAAAATCAGTCAACTTAGTTTAAATAGGTATGATTAGAAAATGAAGGAGAATTTCCATCTTATCAGTACAGAGTGCATAAATGGCACAAAACACAGCCATTCTGTTATACTGGTAGCGAGTATAATACTTTGTTTCTTGAAATAAATATATTTCAGTTGGCTTAAATGACTAATATACATATCGATCTAGCTTTTATTTTTTTCATACAGGAGTTGATTCTGTGTACGTAGAAATGACACATGATGTTGAAAGAAAAATCAGAAGGGAAAACTAAACTGATTAAGAAGAGAAAAACAGGCATTAATTATTCTCTCTTCTGCTCCTGTACATACATGCAATAAAAGAAGCAGTCACAAAACGTTTTCACAAGAGACTGCTTTTAAAGTTGGTGATTTCTTTAAGTTTATGAAACGCATTATACGGTGCAAGCAATTGAAATAGCATAAAAATTTGACCTAACAGTATGTATTATTACTAACACAGTATCTGCTATTAGCATTTGTGCCTTTGGAAAGCTTGATTTATTTTTATTGAATACATTGAATTCTATTTAATGTATTCAAAATTTATTTCATTTATACATGCATATTATTGCATATTATTTATCTTATTATAAATTTATTTATATATTTATTTTATTCAAACCTATTCAAATTATTGAAATAATGTTTAAAAAGCATTTTTTGCCAAGGATATGAAGTACCTTTTTATATATGACTGTAATGATCACTTTATTTAGAAGCAGCATGCATTCAAAGTATTGAATACATTTTCTGCTAGATCTTGCATTTTCAAATCGTTGTGCACATATTACTCATCTTTAGATTTCATGCGTTTAGTAAGGGCAAAATCTAGCTCACTCTTCAATTCAAACTCACATGCTGTATTAACAGCTCAAATGTCCAATACTAGTATAGACTTATAAGGAACATGAAAAAATTGCTTCTGCTTTCAGGTATGTGAAGACTGAATGTCACATATTCTTTAAAATTGCAATGCTGAGCTTCATTTTTACAGTATTCTTGAACCTATGAAGTTGCGTTCACTAGATGAAACTTAATTTCTCAGTATACATGTGTTCAATAAACAGATCACGTGCACCTAACTTATCTGTGCACACATCCTGACCTTTGAAGTACAGCTAGAGTGCCAGGGTTGATTCGATGAATGCCATCAAGAATAACAAGCTTTCCTTCCAGGGCAGCAGTAACAAGTGGCGATGGTCTCCAAGCAGTGTCTCCATTAGGAAGAGTATACCTTTGCTGCAGCAAATCTCTAGCTGTCATATCCTGTAAGTATCAATTCATCAATTAAATATACACCAATTCGTGATGTATCTTATTCATCTACAAGTGCCTGCTTTGTTCTTCAAAATTACATTTGTTTTTTCCTGAGAATACACCCAAGGCAGATTAGCAGGAAATCTTAAATTACTTTTCCAAAAAATATTTGAAATACACACCTATGTGCACACATGCACAAACACACACACAAAATGTTAAATAGTCTTCTCCGGTAGTTCTAGACTCGTTAATATTGCCTTTTTGAACTAGAACAAAAGTCTTTTTTTCCTTATATGTAATGCAAGCACATGACAACTTGTAGACAGCTTTGTGTACAGAAGGGGGCAGCAAGTTACACTTGTAATAAACAAGTGCCATTCATTTTATACAGATGAAAGCTGAAAAAGTAACGATTTCATCATTAATCTTCAAGTGAGATCATAACACAAAAAAGTATGACGTTCCAACCCTCAAAAAGAAAATACAGTGGAAACATCAGAGAAGAAGGGACAGAGTAAGAAAGGAGCCAACAACACACACAAAACATGCTACTGCAAAGTATCACAAATACACAGAGTATCACAAAATAATACGTTAGGGATAAATCATGACCAAAGGTGAAAGCTAGCACATCCTCCAACATAACTATTTTAGATGTTCCATTACAGTAGGTACGCACTAGAAAAACAAAGAGAGCCTTAATAGCTGTTTTGTAACCTGAAAGTTGAAATTCCTTCCTCAGGAACAGAAATTAACCTAAAATCAGATGAGAAAAATATTTTCTGTTGCACTCGCAGCTTTTGCATACGTCCTTGTTACAACTGCAAACCCTTTGAACTTTAAAGAATAAAAATAGAATACATTACGTCATATGGCCTGAATCATTTCCTCTTTCTACATTTCCTTAAAAGTCTTAAAATAACAGGACAAAGTCTGGTTCCTTCAGTGCTTCCACATTTGTATAATTTAAAGCCTCATACTCAGATCCATAAAAACAGCAAATATTCTTATTGTTGCACTTCCAGATTTTAGTGCTGTGTTTGCTCTTTTCTAGTATTTTATTAAGGAATTAGGCTAAAAACCAATATGAAACACATTTTTATTAAAGCCAGAGAAAAATGTAAATATTTTTATCACTTGTGTCAAAAGTTGCGTGTGCATTCTTTAGTAAGTAATGCTGTAAAACGGAATATACAACTAAGACACCTTCTGACAAGATAGCTCCACAGGAATAGTATCTACAGTGTCTACTATTAACTGATCAGCAGTCTAGTGTGCTGTATACAATGGTGTCTATCTGCAAAACCAACAACTGAAGAATTATACATTAATTAGCTGGAGATAAACTCAGAACCGTACTTGGCCGCAAAATATTTTCCAAAATATAAAATGAAAGTTTAAACTATAATTTAAATGCTTGAATCAGATTCAATTTAGTGACATATTAAAAAGAAGTCTCATTCACTAATACTTGCCCAGTCTCTTGTAAAGGGCTTGTTTCAGGGCAAAGTTCCTGCCCAGCGATTTACTCTATTACATTCCTAATCAATTTTTAAGTATCTATTATGAGACATCACATTATAATACCCTTAGGCTAAAAATCCCTCTCTTTGAAAAATATATACAGAAGGCTATGAATTAAATGTTTATCCTTATTTTGGGCAAAGCAACGGTAGAATTATTTTCCTTATGACATAAAATGCTTATCTTCACGTATAAATCATTGTACTTTAAGCATATTGCCTTACTTATCATTTATTTCCCAAAATATCTCTGATCTGGAGAAAAAAAAAAAAGAAAGGAGGCAAAAAAATCTGAAACAGAGCAAGCTTTTAATTAGAAGTCTTCAGACGAGTCCCACAAAGTTCAGGTGAGAAAACAAGAAGGTTATGTTGAACTCCATTTAGCAGCTATAGCAATAAAAGCCTCCAAATTAGCCTTTTTTTCATGACTCTCAGTGATAATCATGTTCTTGGCGATTACAAGGTGAAGAAATCTGTTTCCTGCTTTTCATGCCAATTTGGATTCACATTTTGTTAATGTTTCTCAAATAAAAAATAGGAAGGAATTGGTAAAGAAAAATTATGAGGTAATGCAGAAAAAGAAAAAAGAAATCATAGAAACAAATATCACTCTACATAAACACTAGCGATGTGCTTAAGATTGTTTTTGTTGGGGGGAGAAAGGAAGGAGGAGTGAGTTGTTGGAAAATTGTTATAATATCACTATAAAAACATTATTTTTCTCCCTTGAAACTTCAGGGGGAGAAAATGTTTTATTTTAAACTTCTAAAACTAAAAGTTCCCAACCTACAATCCACAAAGAGCTGGCTTGCTGCTGCTTCTCGTTTGCCGTTGCTTAACTGCATTAAGAGACAACTAAAATAAATCTTTCCTAAAATGACTGTCCTTTGTCAACAATTTGCCTACAATGAATTTTATACAAACAGAAATCAAAATAATGATGTAAAAGATCACAAATGAGACAGCAATTGTTCTATGGGACAATTTCTACTATAAAAGATGATCTAAGTGCTAAAAAGGTTTGGGAATCCCTGGTTTAGATAAATTTGATCCTTATCTCACAGTATAAAGGCTTTTAAAGCACCTATCACATTTTTTCCTGTGAATTCAGTATGAAGAAATATGCCTTTTCACATTGTTTGAGCTCCTAAATCAACTTCAGACAGAAGGAATAAAGCAACCATGAAAAATTTTAGAAACACATTTAGGACAATTTGGCCTTTCTCTCAAAAACCAAACCAAAAAAACCCCAAAAAAACCCTTTTTTCTTGAAACAAAAAAGTAGTAAATCTGGTAGATTTAGACTCAAACTTCTCATTGCCTTAATTGCTCAACTACTGAATGAATTAGCATATTCAACATTTGGTCTGATGTTAAATTATCTATTAATATGCTAAACAAAGAATCTGTTATCACATTTTTTAAGGAAAAGCAAATGTACCTCTTAATGTAGCAGAACATGCATACTGCAGATGTATTCAATTATGTTTTACATTTTTCTTCTTGTAATAACTTTTGAGATTATATAAGATATCGTATACAGTAAATCTGTGTAAATACAGGCATGTTTAATCCTAAATTAGATGTGTATCTACACATGAGTTTATACTCAACAACGAGCTCACAACAGTCATTTGCTTGCCTTCACAATCCTTCTGGGTATCACCAAAATACAGATATCTCTCTATAAAAACACTCCGCCCTTTGTGCTTGATCAAATCCTGGCAAAACCAAAGGAAAGGTTCACTGCAGTGGAAACTAGTTCAAGCCCTTGGCCAAGAATTTATTTCTGTAGGAATTACAGATCCCTCTGAAAGAAGAATGCTTACTGAGTTAACCAATTTCACCGTCAGCTCTTCTCATGCATCTCCTAAGGGGAAGTCCTCAGGTCCTTTTCAGCAAAGCTGCACTAATTTAAAGGTAAGACTTTGAAAAACACTGGCCACATTTTTAAGCTTCCAGGACCAAATAAATTGTCTCATTTTGGTGATGACTGCCCAATGCCATACCGTGTACAACAAAACAAGGGTTAGGCTGGGTATGTCAAGTTGCAAAAGTTATTTTCCTGGGATGATTTAAAACATGTTTGCATGGACAAGTGCAGAAAAAAAAATGCAGGCTGGCTGGATACACTCCATACTGGCTCAGAAACTATGCACCTATCTTAATATACCGCTGTACACAAGATAACAGGCACTACTGAGAGGCCAAGTACATTAGCATGAACACAACATTGCACTATGAGGAGGTTACATGCTTGTTATGTGGCTTTTCAACCCATGTCTGCTCGCATGTGGCGCCTATCAGCATCTGGCCAGGTTAAAGCATGGGAGCAGAGCTTTCCTCTGCGTGACTCCATCTATGCAGACATGTATTCCGAGTCCGAGCCTCTATGAGTTAAAGGCATCTTGGGGGACGGAAAAGCAGTAGAAACCTGTCTGGGGACGCTCTCAGCTCTACAGGGGAACAGAAAACAGAATGTATCTTTATTCTTCCATCAGCATTAATATTTCTCTATTTTCTCTCATTTTTTGTCTGTTTCAACCCTTCCAATTCACCTCCCATTTCCATCAGTCTCTATCTCTCCCACACGCCCATGTGTGTACTTCCATGTACTTCCAAATCAGCTGCCACTGCCCCTGCCACCTCCTCCTTTGGAGGTCTCCATGCTGCCTGGGAAATGTTTAACTAAGTGAAGGGAGAGGGAGAGAGAGATCAACAGGCTGCCTGAAATCTGACACAAGTGGTCACCTGTAGCATTGCCAATTATCACCTACAACTGTAAATCCTGTGACATTTCGTGTATTTTGACTCACAACCTCATGGGAAATTCCTTCATTTTTTACTTGCAAGTATTTTCATTCCTCAAGGTTATGGAGAAAACCTTAGATCTGTGATCCCTACCATGACAAGCTGGCAAATTCAGCCACTACCTTTTTTAATCTCATAATTTTCCAGTTTATACATAAAGGTTAGAGTACATCAAGATCTAAGACCAACAATATCGTGCAACCAAGTAGAAAGATACTACTGGCTATGGAAGATTACAGTTAAGCATGACAGAACTGGTGGTTTGCAAAACAACCTCAGGTGCTGTCAGGAAACCTGAAGAACTTTCTAGATAAAACCAAAGTACACCAATGCACACAGCATGGGGAATAAGCAGGAAGAATTAGAGATCTGTGTGCAGTCACAGGGCCATGATCTCGTTGCAGTTACAGAGACATGGTGAGATAGCTCACATGACTGGAATGCTGTCATGGACGGCTACGTGCTTTTTCGAAAACACAGGCCAGGAAGGTGAGATGGTGGAGTTGCCCTTTATGTGAGGGAGCAACCAGAATGTGTGGAGCTCTGCCTCGGGGTGGATGAAGAGCAAGTTGAGAGCCTATGGGTAAGGATTAAAGGGCAGGGTAACATGGGTGACACTGTTGTGGGGGTCTACTACAGGCCACCTGACCAGGAGGAAGTCATCGATGAGGCCTACTACAGACAGCTGGAAGTAGCCTCACGATCACAGGCCCTGGTTCTCATGGGAGACTTCACCACCCTGACATCTGTTGGCAAGACAGCACAGCTAGGCACAAACAGTCGAGGAGGTTCCTGCAGAGGATTGATGATAATTTCTTGACTCAGGTGGTGGAGACGCCAACGAGGAGAGGTGCAATGCTAGACCTTGTCCTAACGAACAAAGAAGGTCTAGTTGGAGAGGTGAAGGTTGGGGGCAGCCTTGGCTGCAGTGACCATGAGATGGTGGAGTTGAGGATCCTACGAGGAGGGAGCAGGGCAATAAGTAGGATTGCAACGCTGGACTTGAGGAGAGCTAACTTTGGCCTCTTGAGGGACCTACTTAGGGGAATCTCATGGGGTAGGGCCCTAGAAGGAAGAGGGGTCCAAGAAAGCTGGTTAATATTCAAGCATCACCTCCTCCAGGCTCAAGAGCAGTGCATCCCTCTGAGGAAGAAGTCCAGCAAAGCGGGCAGGAGACCTGCATGGATGAGCAAGGAACTCCTGACAAAACTCCAGCAGAAGAAGGAAGTGTACAGAATGTGGAAAAGGGGACAGGCCACTTGGGAGGAATACAGGGACGTTGTCAGAGTGTGCAGGGATGCGACAAGGAAGGCTAAGGCCCAGCTGGAATTAAATCTGGCAAGGGACGTCAAGGACAACAAGAAGGGGTTTTTCAAATACATCAATAACAAAAGGAAGACTAGGGAAAACATGGGCCCACTGCTGAATGGGGTGGGTGCCCTGGTGACGAAGGATACAGAGAAGGCAGAGTTGCTGAATGCCTTCTTTGCTTCAGTCTTTCCTGCTAAGGCCAGTCCTGAGGAATTCCAGACACTGGAGACCAGGGAGGAAGTCTGGAGAAAGGAAGACTCTCCCTTGGTGGAGGAGGATCGGGTTAGAGATCTTTTGTCCAAACTTGACATCCATAAATCCATGGGCCCCGATGGGATGCACCCACGAGTGCTGAGGGAGCTGGCGGAGCTCCTGGAGCTCAGGAACTTTCAACAGAGAAAAAATGCCCACTCCTGCCCCAGGAGGGAAGAACCCCTTGCAGTGACCCACGAAGGAGACAGACTGGCCGGCAGCAGCTCTGTGGCCGAGGCCCAGAGGGTCCTGGTTCTGAGAATCACAGAATCAAAGAATGGTTTAGGTTGGAAGGGACCTCTGGAGATCATCTCGTCCAACCTCCCTGCTCAAGCAGGGTCACCTAGAGCATATTGCCCAGGATCACATCCAGACGGCTTTTGAATATCTCCAGCGAAGGAGACTCCACTACCTCTCTGGGCAACCTGTTCCAATGCTCTGTCACTCTCACAGGGAAGAAGTTTTTCCTCAGGTTCAGATGGAGCTGCCTGTGGTTCAGTTTGTGCCCATTGCCTCTTGTCCTGTCGCTGGGCACCACGGAGAAGAGGCTGGCCTCATCCTCTTGACACTCCCCCTTCAGATACTTGTACACGTTGATGAGATCGCCTCTCAAGCTTCTCTTCCCCAGGCTGAACAGGCCCAGCTCTTGCAGTCTTTCTTCCTAGGAGAGGTGCTCCAGCCCTCTAATCCTCTTGGTAGCCCTCCGCTGGACTCTCTCCAGGAGTGCCATGTCTCTCTTGTACTGGGGAGCCCAGAACTGGACACAGTACTCCAGGTGAGGCCTCCCCAGGGCTGAGGAGAGGGGCAGGATCACCTCCCTCCACCTGCTGGCAACACTCTGCCTAATGCACCCCAGCTGTGTCCAGTTCTGGACTCCCCAGGACAAGAGAGACATGGCACTCCTGGAGAGAGTCCAGTGGAGGGCTACAAACAACCTTAGGGGATTGGAGCATCTCTCTTATGAGGAAAGGCTGCGAGAGCTGGGCCTGTTTAGCCTGGAGAAGAGAAGACTGAGAGGCGATCTCATCAATGTGTACAAGTATCCGAAGGGAAGGCGTCGATGGGGCCAGACTCTTCTCCGTGGTGCCCAGCGACGACAGGATAAGAGGCAATAGGCAGAAACTGAAGCACAAGAAATTCCATCTGAACCTGAGAAAAAACTTCTTTTTCTGGGAACAGGCTGCCCAGAGAGGTGGTGGAGTCTCCTTCGCTGGAGATATTCAAAACTCGCCTGGACGCAATCCTGTGCAATGTGCTCTAGAGGTCCCTGACTGAGCAGTGGGGTTGGACTAGATGATCTCCAGAGGTCCCTTCCAACCATTCTGTGACTCTGTGAAAGAAAAAAACCCTAGACTTATAGCAGCCTCACAACTCCACATTTACTATTACATGTACTCTGTGACAACTGACAGCGCTAAAATCTTTCATTCCCTTGCTAATCTGTATGCCCAGACTTTTTGGAATCATTACCACTTCTTCTTAATCTTTTTAAATTCAAACTTTAATTTTGACTCAGTCAAAACATTCACTGTGCTTCAAACTTTTCAATTATTGTAAACTTACTTCTCCAACCTTCTAAAAATGTGCTCAATATAATAAGCTTCTTGTCACCACCTTCAAAGCTCCCTGAGGCCTTTATAACTTCTCCAGTTCTTCTTTCTTGTCATCTTACCCCATGACTGTCGTTCCAAGGCAATTAAGTCAACTGCTTGTGTGCCTTACAAAAAAGGTTTATGAATATTTTCCCCAAAATTTGTCTTTAAAGTCATATTTATATTAAGACCCTAGGTTACAACATGAGTAAATCATCAACAACTAGGCTAAGGAGTGAAGATTACTGCCTGCTTGTTATAGTACCTATGAGCAATGTACCGTAATACTGTATATTACTGCAACACAGCCATGCCACAACTGGAATCTTTGGACTAAACAGAAATATAAGCAAAGAAAAAGCACAGAAATTACAATATTTTAAAAAGTATATGTGCTAGGCATCATAAAAAATAAACATGTAAGAGGATATTAGGAGATCTTGGTAACAGAAGAAACAAACCTAAAAACAAGAGAAAGATTAAGCCTATGGAATATAAAAAATAACTTTAAAATATCCCCACAAACATAAAAGGCATTATGCATTCTCAATACAGTAAAGAAACTGCCTTCCAGAATAGTAAGAAAATAATGTTAATAATGGAGAATTCCATTATAAAATTTCACAGCATATGGACAGACAAAAAAGGAAGGAGAAAAGGTCTTCCGGGGCTATCCAACATGCAATTACAAGTGGCCACCACTCTGACCTAAAGGCAGGAAACATACTTCAAAGGGAAAAAAAAAATCCAAAGAGGAGAAGACCAGAAAGACAAGGTTTTCTTTATGACACCCAGTCACGCCAAATCACAGCATGAGTTGTCAATTCTTTTCAGCTAGGAGAACAATTATTCCTTTAAATGATTCTCCTTACTTTTTTGCTTATGTAAATTACCTATCTTTCTTTTGTATTCATTATATTGACTTCATTTTGAAAGTAAAGCAGTATCAGGGCTAAAGTATATGTAATAACAGTGTACTACCTATTTTGCCTGGGCTGCATAGCATCTAGCACTGCAAATCAGAAAAGATTTTACAGACAAACATTCTAACAGAGAGAGTAAAAAATGTTCTGTAATGACCAGAAAACTTGGCTACCTTTTAAGTCTTTGCTATCCTTCATTTTTTTCCTCATACTAGTGATTTTCAAAGCTGCAGCTGTATATGAAGACTCCATCTTACACAGAGAATCTACCTGTGTGTGTTATATTTTGGACTATATTAAAAGCAAATGGCATACATTAAAAGCACCAGCAAATAGTTTACTCACCTGATATAGCATGATAGGTTCTATGCTGTATCCTAGTATATCAGCAAACTCCTTAGCAATAACTGTTTTGCCACAGCCCTAAAAAGGTTAAAAAAATAAGAACTAGATTATATTCTAGGGAACAAGGGAAAGGAGGGACAGAAGAAATTTTAATTCTTACTTTTCCTCCAATTAAGCACATATCTTTAACCATATGGGATTGCATCATTTCTGCCAACAGCTGATCATGACTGGGAGTCCTTATGAAAGAATCTGATCCAGAATGTTGTTTTAATGGTCCAGTCCCAGCTGGAACCTATATAGAAAAAAAACCAAAACGCTAAATAAACTATATAGCAATAGCTTTAGACTTCATGTGGACTGGGTCACACTACACCAAAAATGTTGTAATAGTTTGCTGATGACTGTCATCTATCAAATCTAAATCTTTCACTTAAAAAATTAACATTGTATAATTTGTAACAGACCTAACTTCCTTCATCCCTCCCTTTCTCACTTTTAATGACAAAAATAAGCAAATATGAACTAATCCAACAGTAGCCTTCGGGTATGCAAAGAACTTGAGGCTATTCATGTTAGAGCCAAAACAAAAAAGTCACCAATATAATTCCTTATTGCTCATCAGAGAAATAAGAAAGAGAAGGTGCAATCTGCATTGTAAAAATCTGAAGGGGTTATTTTGGTTAGAGCTTTGGAGAGTAGCAATATTTAGTTGTTCTCCACATTAAGACCCTTGCTCTATTCCCACCTCCTCGTTTCAGTTTGGAAACTGCTCCACCTGCAAACTCCTTATGTCCTCGTCTTCCCAAAGAGACATTCTGCAGATAAACTTTCAACAGATATCATCTACAGGTCAAATTAAAGCAAAAATCTTTCCCTCAGAAAAAAGCCCAATCAGCTCCTTACAGATTCACCTTTTTCGGACAAATTTCTGTTTGCTGCTGCTCCCCTTTTTATCTTGTCATGGTACAAACTCTCTGAGGACATTCTCCTCACCAATATAACTATTATGATCTCTTTCTGACTCTCTTCAATTCACCTTCTTTACAGAGACTCTCTAGTCTCTTCAAACAGAGCATTCACTTCAAATTCTCAGATCAGCATCTCTTTCCTGAGTAAGACCTTATTTCACCACCTAGCATAGCAGGTCATAAACTTCATTGGAAGAAAGTCAAACTAATCGTATTTGATGTGATTATTTTTGTTCTCTTTTCCCAATATGCTGTGTCAGAATATCAACAAGCACTCTACATTTTTTGAGGTGTAGACAAAGACGGACTATTGTTTTTATAGAAAGAAAAAGAGAAGGCAGCACCAAGAGCATCGCACGACATGTACTCTGTATAATGCCAATCCAATAAAAAATAAGAAATCTAGAATTGTTCTTTCATCTGTTCTTTAGCAATTGTTTTAATACAAGATACTTAAATGAATAAAAGGTAGAAAAGTATGAGCTTATCTGAAGACAAAATCTTGTTTAATCATAATCTAATACTCCAGTAGCTAAGTGACTTTCTAATACATATCATGCTACACTACCAAAAATTAAATATCCAGTGCAAATGAGTTTCAGCATCAAGGATAGGTGTCAAATTCTGGATAAGACAGAACTAAATTAGTGATAACTACAAATATGTATAGTTGATGAATATATGAATTAATACCTGGAACATCACTTCTGTTTCACCAATCTGGACAGTTACATCAGCCTTGAAGGTTTTGTTTCCATGTACGCTTTCTACTTTTGTAATCCTTCTGGGAAGCAAATGGCTTTTTGAATCCTGTAGCTCAAAACGCTGTAGAATTAAGGGTGGAGGCAAGGGTGGAGGAATTAATTATTAAATACAGCTTTCAATTTTTTAAAACTGTTCCTCCTGAAAACACAGCCAGAAGCATATTTGAGATTAATTTCTTGTGAAGTCCTAAATTCATTTACTTTAAGAGCCTTACGACTAGAAAAGTCAAAGTCTCTATTTGCTCATTATTCAGTGAAGAAACTGCTGCTTACATCTCTTGAAAACAAATTCAAGTAAGTCTTAAACAATAACAGTAATCTTTGAAATCAAGAATTCACATAGGTATGTTCAAACTTTTGATAGCTGGTATATTTTACACTTCGTTTAAAATCAGACCCAAAAGAACTGCCATCTACTTAATCTGACTGTAGTGATAGACTTAAAAGGTAAATAACCTATTGTGATTTTACTGAGTCTTAGTCAGACGGATCAAAATAATAACAGAAACGGATAATAGCCTTTAGCATGTGTAATAACAGAGCATCAATCTTTGCAGACCATTATAACCAATTGCAGATTTAAATGTCTGTCTACCAATAAAAATAAACATCAAATACTGTGTTTACTTAGCTCCGCAGCCTTATCATGCAATGAAAATTGAGGACAGCTTGTACAAATTAAGCCTTCAGTATGTTCTGGATATAACAAGGACAAGAAACTGACCACTTGCCTTTCCAAATCTCTTTTGAATATTACACTCTCTATTTTATGGTGTATATAGATTTGAATATTACACTCTCTATTTCATGGTGTATATAGAAAGCATGAAAAGCATTTTTAATACCCTGTAAAAATCTGTTTTGCTGGAGAGGGGAAACCTAACACTAAATCAGAGGGGCTATACATGAAAAAGTTAGTCACTAAAAATCTACTGAAATCGTGGCGTCACAGGATTCAACAGAGTAAAAGCTGAGTAAAGAAGAGAAAATGGAATATTAGTCAAACTCCTTAGAACTCTTGGAAAAAAAATTTTAACAGAACTCATTAATGTAAAATCATTTTTAAGAAGCATGTAGTTCTATTACTAGTACTGTTCAGAGTCCTGCCTACTAAGGTTCAGAAAGATTACTGAAAAGCATTCATATAAAGACTTTGGCTCTCCATCACTCTTGTAAATTCCTTTTCTGGAACAAGTACTTACAAAAATTTCATATAAAAAAAAAAAAAAAAAAAAGAGCCGGAAATTATATTTTTATGGTAACAGCTGAGCCTACTTCAGCACCATTAAAGGTCTGAACAACAACAGAAGATAGGAATGCATACTGAGTAGTATCTCAAACTATGATTCTAAGAAATGCTCCAACTATGATTCTAAGAAATGCTCAAACTATGATTCTAAGAAATGAACTCAAATACTCTCAAATCTATATATTCATTAGTAAATTGTAATATTCTTATTAAGTTAATGGAGTTTGGATAGGGCCAAATCTGCTTATACACAAAACTCTAAAATACACTACTCAGATACTCACAGGAGAAGATAACTGTAAGTAAGCAAGCAGATTTTATTTGTACCAACAGCCTCTGCACAAATACAAGCATCAAATAATGAAGATTTGGAACAGATCTTGTGCACAGAAGTATGACACTCTTGGAAGTTTAAGATTTCTTAGGTGGATTTTTTTTATGTTGTTGATGACCCTACAGCTAGCATTTTAGACCACAAATCAGCACAGTGAAAGTGGATTCTGTATCTCTGTGGATCCTTACTGAATTTGTACAATAGATTTCAAATATCACTTGTTAGCATGCAGATGCCACTGAACTGGACAGCTTAGTGTAAAAAGAAGTTAGTATACTTACTCCTGAACAAGAGCAGCAAGCAAAATAACTTTTTGCGGCTTCCGAAGTGAGACAGACTTTCTTTACAGTTCTACATCCAGAATTATAATAGCTAGATATGGAATCAGAGAATGGCACGAAATGGATGTACAACACATTACATTCTGCCTGAGCCAGAAATGACTTTCTTTACACAAAATCCAAATTGATAGCTGCAAAGGAAAAAATATTTGTGGCTTGGAAGGACAACTACTGACTACATTAAGTATCAGGAAGTTTGGGAGATACTTGGACAGCCAGATACGGGCAGTCTCCTAGCCTCAGATTCAAGAGGAAAGAAAACGAAAAGGCTAGCCACCAAAAACAAGAGAGGAGGTTTGGCAGTCCAGAATCACCAGGTCACATTCTGCACATCTAGAAACACACGAGAATAGACAAACTGTAAAAATTAGAGAACAGGAAGAATAAGAGGAACTCCGAACAGCTGGAGGTATCTAATGATCCGCAACGTCTCCTCATGGAACCTGAGAAGAATACTCTGGTGATCCAGCTGGTCAAAGGAACAGAGAACTTAAATGAGACATATTTACAGATAGCTGCTCTGCTGAGCCCACAAGACAGCTGAGGTAGTCAAAAAGATTTCTGCAGGCATCCAAAGACAACTGATAGTTGTTGAAAATTCTCTGCAAGGGAAAGAAAA